GAATCAGGGGCCATTACCATATTTTTTTTACCTTTAGGTTGTAGTTTTTTGCATAATTTTTTATGCCCTGCAACATATACGCCAAAGTGACGTATTTATGGATTTTTTTCCAATATTTATAAACAATTTTTGGCTGAGACATGACCATTTTCATTCATTCTGACTGAAAATATTGAACACTACCATTTTCAGCCGCTAGATGGCACTCGAGTAGTGTGGCATGCAGCTGGTTTGGTTGTCAGCAGCAAACTGGTTGATCCACTCTGAGAAGGTGCTAGTTATAAGACTGAGCAGAATACAGCACCTCAGACTGAGGAAGTCTTTCGGATGAAAGACGAAACGTTTCTACAATTTTTTTTAATGTCCAGAGGACCAGATTTAACTTTTTTAGATTTTTCTACCTGGATTATTGAGCATGCATCAGGATAGTATGGCATGCCGTTGTGCCATGTAATAGGTAAAAGTGGCTATTAATGACACAATCGGCTCCAACTCGGCTGGAGCAACCGTCAGATCAACTTCATTTCGCTGCACCACCCTGGAAAAATGCAGCTGATTTGACCATTGAAGTGTTATTAAGAAAAAGTTCAACTGAGACACACCTTTACTATAAAGTTGAGCAAACAAATAATTGTTTTGAGGTGGTTATCTTGTTAAATTTTGAAGAAATGCACAGCGAGTCCTCCCATGCACGCTGCCACAAATCGACTTTTGAAACACAGCTGATTTGACCGTCATAGTGCATTTATTAAGGAAAAGTTAGAGTGAGACACACCTTTACTATAATTTTGAGCAAACAAATAAACGTTTTTAAGTGTTAATCTTGTTAAATTCCTCCCTTGCATGCTCCTCTAGCCACCATTTGGCAACCAATCGATTTTTGACACAACACGAGCCCACATTTCCAGGTTGTCAGCGGTGACGCGTAAAAAACTCGACGCATCAGCGGTGGTGCATAATAGATGCGACGTATACGTCAAAGCGACATATTTATGGATTTTTCCACTTTATTAGACATGTTTGAACTGATGCGACTTATAGCGCAGTGCGACGTGTACGGTGGAAAATAGGGTATAATATATATATTAAACTATATCATAAAAATCATTAAGTTTTGCATGACTTCAAGAAGCAACCTCAAAGTTTTATTATCGGTTTTAGTGCTTTGTTTTAATTTCCGACACTCTCTGACAGTTCAGGTTTGCTTTTAATTTGCATCATATATATATATATATATATATATATATATATATATATATATTTATATTTTTTTTTATTTTTTGCTTTAAATCAGATTTCAATTTGCTTCAGAGTAAAGACACTGTTGAAGTTGTAAAATGTAAATATTGGCTTCATGCGTGGAAGTGAATCTCGCTCACTCAACTTTTCAGTTTGAGCTTAAAGACTTTCTGTATGAGTGTCCCTTGCCTGGAGGGAGTTCCCCCTCCAATTTCAATGCAAAAGACAAGTAGAAATGCAGAATACGATGTGTTTGCCGTGGAGTGAGTTGGAGTACGGGTCCTTTAAAGTGAAGAGCAGTGAGTTGTACATAGAGTAGTGTGGTCTCTGTGGCCTGTAGTTTGATTCATGTCTCATGATGTCTTCTTCCAGCCGTGTGTCTGGGGGGGGGGGGGGGGTGTCAGTCCATGCAGAGCCCATCATACAGCTGTTTGCTTCTTCTTTCTGTCTTAAATGGCTGCTGATTTTTGCAGGTATCTGCTTCTGTCTGGTCACACAGCTTTCTGTTTGCTTTTTTCTTGTTCGGTACTTGTTTTCTCACAGTCGGGTTTCACTTACTTTTTCACTCATGTTTTTGTTTGTTCCTCTATTGTTCTCTGTGTTTTTTCTCATTTTCTTGCAACATATTCATCTAATTTCTTCACTAGCCAGTAAAGTTCTCCTAACTGTCTGTGGACCTGGCAGGCTGTCTAAAAGATGAGTTCAGATGGACTCCTGGAACCATTAGTTTGATTGTGAGAGCAATCTTGTGGGGAAAATGGAAAGAATGAGGCCAGTTATTTACCCAGATGGTTTACTGGTGGAGGTGTGAGGCTGGCCAGCTCACTGTGGGAACACAACGCTTGCTTTTCTTGGTATTGCTGGCCGTTTTCAAGACCACAGTGTTTTTTTCGCCCCCAGCTCTCTCCAGCTTTGTTTGCTCTGGATGGCATGTTTGATTATTTATCGTAAGGGAAAAGGGAGTAGCTGGAGCAATAAACATGTGACTGCGCTGTATTATGTTTTCCACTGAGAAGGCCGTGTCCTTTCACAGATACTCGAAGCAGCCGTAGAGTCTTTTATTTGCTTTCTAGAGGGGAGTTTGGCTGAGTGCAAAGAGGATCAAAAGCCCAGATTAGGGTCTTTGACATTTTGTGTTTGCTGTAAGGGCAATGTATCAACAGATAAATATTTCCTCTGGATGGCTGGAGATCTTTTGTTGTTGTTGCTTTTCTTTGTCTGTGAATTTATTTTAACATCTGTTAATTATTTATGTTTGCCATGACTGTATGAATACAAAAATAAGAAGTTTATCACCCACCATCAAAGGTAACGGTGATAATGTTTTGGCCCGTCAGATGTGAGCATTTGCAAAATGTTTCATTATCTAGTGGACTGATTTTTATGAAACTCTTAGTATCATCCAACAATTTTCAGTCAGGTCATCTGGACAGTTTCTTTTTTTTTTGTGCTGAAACATTTCATGTTCTGGTTTAAGGTTGTGTTGAACTCACGTGCAGGCAGACTGCACGTAAAATAATGAACTAAAGTTTATTTTCAATAAACAAAACAAAATGCCAGGGGGCAGCCAACTTACTTTGTGAAAGAGAACATGGAGGGAGACAGAACACGACAGCCTTTACAGGACAGTCCACAGACAAATGACAAGACACAAGGAAGCTGAATAAATAGACACTGATGAGGAGGAAGGACAAACACCTGTGGTGATTGGGATTAGACCAGGTGAGACAGGAGCTGAACACAAGGAGGAACACTGAGGGGTCGGGCTGGACAATATGGAAAAAACTTATCACGATATATTTCTTAATTTCAGTCCATAATATAATTCGATATCGATATAAACAATATAAAAGCCCCCGAAAAACTGTACAAACTACAAAAAAAATTAATGTTCACCTTTTATTTGTATTTAGCCTTCAAAGAAATTTTGAAATCACCGTCAAATAAACATAAAACTCTCAACTTTGTCAATATTAATAGTTTTAACTTTAAACAACAAACGTTTCTCTTTTGATACAGCTGGGGGTGTTGTTTCAGGGACACGTTGGTTCAAACTTTTATTGTGTTTCATCTTGTGACTCTCATCATATTCTGTCGAGTGGAAACTCTTCAGATGGAACAAGTTAGATGTGTTTCCACCGCTAGTTGGAATGACTCTCCGGCACATTTTGCAGCACACTGAAACCTGCAGTTTATCGGATCTTAGAAAGCCGAACTACTTCCACACTGCCGAATTAGTCTTTGGTCTCTTATCAGTTATGTCATCTGTTCTCTCTTCGCTTGTGAAGTCACATTCTGACAGTCATGGGCACTCATTTTGAAGTGAAAACTTATCACGCGTTGGAGCTTAGCCTAGCCTGCTACCGCTGACTCCTTCAAGCTGTGATGTACGTCACCGCACACTTACCAAGTTGTGTCGCAGCTTTTTCTGTTCGGGTTGAAACGTCTGCCGCTTCAACCTGAACAGAAAAAGAAATGTGTCAGTGAAACGCTGTAATCATATTGAAATATCAAAATTGTGCTAAAAACTCATATCATCATTATTGAATGAAAGTATATCGTGTTATATGTCGATATCGAATTACTGTCCAGCTCCACTGAGGGGTGAATGAAACACGAGGAAACAGAAAAGACAGGACAAACCCAGAAACCCCACACTTAATCCCCCAATATACTGCCGCGTACGTCTATACGCAGAGGTATGTACGTGGAGGTACGACGTACCCCCCAGGGCATGTCCATGCAAAGCTCTAATTTTTACGACCGCATACGCGTACGCGGTGTCGCACAATAAACTGCCCAGCGACGGAATGTTTTGTATGTGACACCAATGTATTAAATTCCCCTTCTTCATCCCTGATCTGGCCTTTTCTTTTGTTTTGTTTTTTTTGCCAAGAGGCAGAGATCTCTTCCTCCTCCGTTGATGCCATGACTGAAATGGTGAGAAATGAAGGAATTTGTCACGAGCGAATTAAACTCAGATCCAGCATGGCTGTGGGAAGGTCTGTAGATTTCCTGGTGGGCTGGTCTGATGTGTGGGCTGTAGAGCCAGCGCTCTCTGTTTTTTTTAAAAAAAAATTTTAGATATTTTTATTAACAACATATAAACACAGAACACCGCTGCGTGAGGCTGCCAGCGCTCGCTTTTTTTCTTTTTTTCCGACCTGTCAATCAATCCAGTAGGCGTGTCAGCAAATGGCCAATCGGTGACGTCAATTTGTCCCAAAGGTAAACGCCCCTTGTCTGTGAAGCTGCTCTGCAGCTGCTCGGGGTGTACACTGGAGTATGAAGTCTGAACCCTCTGCGTACAGTACATGCGTACGTACGCGTGAACGGACGTACACGGCAGTATACTGGGGGCTTTAGAAAGTAATTACTGTACATAGCTCTACACAAGGTAGTCCAATTCAACATGGCCGCCACAGCTTTCAACCTCAACTAGCACAAAAATGACTCAGATTTAGTCAGTTTTACAGATACTGAGCTGTAGGTAGGTGTGGTAGTAGCTGAAAGTCATGCCCAACACACATTTCAAGTAGTAGCAGAACACATGGACATGCACAATAAAATAGTTTTACATCAAATGATTTCACTTCAAATCTTTAGCACAAAAGTTGTCGGGTGATAAGCATTCTTTTAGTGTTTGGTGTCTACCATGAGAGGTCACATCAAAGCAGTTTTAAGAAAATGCTGTCTTTGAACTTGTACTGTTTTATTCTGAGTGTTGAACGCTTTTTTTTGTTTGTTTTTTTCTCTGTCAGGCGCTCCAAGTGGCTCGGCAAATTCTTCTCCAGCAGCAACATCATCATCATCAGCAGCAGCAGCAGCAGCAGCAGCCAACGTCACAGCAGCTGCAGACTCAACAAAACACGGGCCGCAAATCCCCAAAAGCAAGCGACAAGCAGCAGAGCCTGCAGGTACTGGTAATCTGTTGTCTTCCTCTGATGCTCTCATGTACACAGCACACTGTTTTCAGACAGCTTTGCTCATTTAACTTTGTGGTTACTGATTTGAAAGACATAAAGAAAACGTGCTCTCGGAAGAACAAAATGTGCAGAGAAAAAAAGTACTGTACCGGGCTAAGTTCACAAACAGGAAATTAACATTAGCAACGCAGCATTTGCAGTAAAGTGTCTCCTGTGTGATTCAGCAACATGCACATGTTCCACCGTCAAAGTCTTGACAGAACTCGTCAAGATTAATTTAGATTTTAACTTCATGTGGACTGTAAGACAAATGGGTCCTAGTAACTTTCTAATCCTGCAAGCTTGTTTGGAAATCACCATGTTTGTAATTGTATCATAATTTTCATAACTCAGGATGTGTATAGTGTGTGTGGTGATGAAATTGTAGAACTCACACACCCACAGAGGGAAAAGTCAGGTCCTTATCACCATTAGCAGTAGGAGCAACAACAGACCAGCCCCAAAGATGGGTGGATGTTCCAGGTGGTGGGCTTGAAGCAGAGTAAGAGCAACGGTGGAGGAAAATGCAGTTTTTATGGTCAGGTATTCAGAATGCCCTTACAAAAGAAACGTAACAAGAAAAAATTTTTTGAAGTTACATTTACTCTTGTTTCACTTTTAATTTGAACATTTTTTTTCCTGGTCCAGAAATTACCTGAATGTCAGATCAGCTGCTTCAGAGCTGTAAATCTTTGGAAAATGTCTTTAAGTGGGAAACAACTTTATGGCATATTTGATCATTAATACAGGAATCCTTTCTCTGCATGTCTATATGTATATAAATATATATGTATATATACACAGTAGTCTCTCGCTACTTCGCAGTTCGTTTATTGCAGACTCGCTCTATTGCAGTTTTTCAACGTAAGATTGGACATGACACACAATTGGCTGATTGATGGATGAGCTGCATGATCAGCATGGAATTCTTATTTAAAATAAATTATTTTAAATTATTTAGAACCTGCTGCAACTTTGTGCAGCCCAGAGCTGCATAATAATAATAAACTTTGTTTATATAGCACCTTCCAACAATGCCTTGCATTGACCAAAGTGCTTTACAAGATAAAACAAATAAAAACAGGGTACAATAAATTAGTGCAAATTAAAAACACAGCCACAACAAAAGAAGGTAAAAGAGAAAAAGCTTCCTCCTGCAGCTTTGTGCAGCTCACACTGCAGGATAAGCTTCCTGCTGCAGCTGATCAGCTGTTCACTGTGCAGAGTGTAGAAGTTCAATTCAATTCAGTTTATTTATATAGCGCCAAATCACAACAAAGTTGTCTCAGGGCACTTTACAGAAACATTCACATACATAGAAAAGCCAATAAGTAAAGTTCTCTAAGGAAGCAGCAGACACGGTAAATCTTGGCTTCGTTGCAGTCTCCCATCCTGAGCAAGCACAATGGCAACAGTAGAAAAAACTCCCTTTTAAAAGGAAGAAACCTCCAGAAATGGGCGTGGCCAAGAGCGCTTGCAGGTGGCAAAGAGCAGAGGAGGCAGAGTGCTGAAATCATGACATTCTGCGCTCTTTTAGAGCGTTTAGAGTTTAGAGACATTGTTTAGAATATTCCAAGACTGTGGGAAAAGTTTAA